TCGGGCTCGGGCTCGGGCTCGGGCTCGGGTTCGGGCTCGGGCTCGGGTTCGGTATCCGCATGGCCGCGCCGATCCCTCCGCGCCCCCCGCCGCACCGAACAGCACTGCCAGGCCCGGGGGTGGCGCTCCGCCCACCGCGACGTCAGGGCAGGGGCGGGACTCGGCGGGGCCACCCCCGTACGTCAGGGCTGGGGCCGGTCTGTCCACAGCCGCGGCAGGGCGAGGAAGGCTCCGCCCACTGTAACGTCAGAGCCGGTCGGGGCCCAGAAAGGACTAGGCTGAAGCCCCGCCCGCCACGCCGGCAGTAGGTGGTGGGGCGGAGGGCCAGGGCCCAGGGGCCGGGTTGGGCGGCAGGGGGGCGGGACCAACCGTCTCTCCGCCCTCTCAGCGCTGCCTCTGGAGCTGGGAAACTGAGGCCTGCGGTCCCCCGACCACAGGGTCCTGGGCCCTCCGGTCAAGGGTCTCCCTGCTCTCGCAGACCCATGTGCCCTGCTCCGAGACCTGCAGGCATCGTGGACTCCAAAGTCATAGAGCTGACAGGTCTCCTTTTTTGTACAAAAGGACCCCCCCTGGCGCTATTTAATGATCTGAAAAGGAAGGTGTGGGCATCATCTTAGGGAAGACTCTTGTGTGTACAAAATGGAAACAATGCCTGAGAGCTCGGGCGGGCCTCATCCTTGGTTTGGGGGGAATCCCAGCTGCACCCCAGACCTTGGGTGTCCTGCCTGCCTGGCTTGGGGTCCTGGCGTCCCCACATGGTGACCACTCCGCCCGGCAGCCTCAGGACTGTGGGGCTGCCCATCTTGGTGCTGGCCCCTGCCCCGGGGACCTCGGCACAGGGACCACATGTCCCACACAATCAGATCTACCTTTATTGACAGGCTAAGCAGAAGCATCAGGGGCTCTGACATCTCAGAGGCCTCAGGGGCCCCCCAGGACTGCTGTGTGTGCAGGGGATGCCAGGACCCAGTGCCCCACCAGGAGTGGCCAGCGCAGAGAGGCCCCAGACAGTCCAACACCAGCCGGCAGGGCCCTGGGCCCCAGCAGGGTCTCCCTGGCAGGCTGGGGGAAGAGCTGCAGGAGCTGCGCCAGCTGGTTCTCTGAAACCCACCCACAGGAGATGCTGGCTTCAGGGTGCATCAGAGCAGAGAACTCTACCCATCTTGGTCAGAGAGCCAGGGGGGATGAGGAGTCCTGGGATGGTTCGGGGGAAGCCAGACGGGAAT